AGGGGTGCCCTCCGCACTTAGTTGGGCAAGGGGTCATGCCTGGTAGGTAGCTTCAAAACAGGCCCCTCTTTGTAATAATGCAGTACAAGTTGGACCTCTCTGGTCCAGCATCCTTGGGACCTGACCAGTCCCGGACAAGGGAGTTTGCCGGGCCAAGGGAGGTCTGGGAGAGGAGGGTGCTAGCCTCCCTGCTGGGCTCCTCTCCCCTACCTCCCTGTCCCGTGAACTGCAGCAGCCCTGCCAACCCACCAGAACTCGCAGCAGCCCCACCGCCCTGCTGGAGCTCGCGGCAGCCCTGCTAGAACTCATGGGGGCCCCCAACTCCCCGCTGGAGGCCGCAGTGACCCCGCCAGAGCTTGTTTACATATACTGCTCCGTGAGTTCCTCCCACTCCCTTCCGTCCCTCCCCGCTTCCCTGCCCCGCCAGCTGCAAGCTCTGGTGTCCCAGGGGATCTGCTGACGCAGGCTCTGCTCTTAGCCACCAGCAACCTCTGCTGCTGGGGCTCTCTAGTCCTGCAACATCCATGGTCCTTCAGGAGACCAGAGAGTCCTGGACCACAGAGGTTCAACCTGTATTTTCCTTTTAGCTCCAGTGCTTGCACATCTTTGTTTTCCTGGTCTTTCTTCAGTCTGGCTGCCGTGACTCAGCAATCCCAGCAGCTGTTCCTGACCACAGGAGTCTGGCAACACTGTATGCTTCTTCGTGGGATCCACAAGGGTGCCCGCATCATGAGCTGTTGGCTCAACATTACGAAGAGGCTTTCCCCAGGTTTCTCCCAAACAGAAGGACAGTTCCTTCTTCTTAGCAACACAGCCCAAAGGCAGAGTAAATAAAACAGCATCCATTCAGAAGGCTGCTTAATGGAAGGAAATGGGATGTTGCAGACCAGAAAACTAGGCATCAGAAGACCTAAGTTCTGTTCCCAGCTCTGACACTGACTTCTTGCATAGGATGGGGCATGTCACTCACACTTCCCTGATCCGGTAGGGATATGATGAGGCTGAAGAAGTCAAAGTCTGTGATGTTCATGGGAGGGGCTACAGAAATGCTCATTGCAGCGCTGCACTTGGTTGCTAGATATTGTATTTGCACTTTAGAGCTCAAAGCTATCGGAGAGAGCAGTAACTTGAGATCCTAGGGTAGGGCTCAGCCTTTATTAGCAGACAGGTTGCTTCTTAACCTGAAGGACAGGCTCTTTCTAAGCCCCCCAGTCACAGGATGCAATATGTGCACACAGTGCACATACCATACAGACTCAGTAGGCGGCCATAACTCAGCACAGTGCATGCTGAGAACAGTGTTGTGATGGCCAAGAGCACAACATGGTTTAAAAAAGATCTAGATAAATTCATGGAGGGGAGGTCAGTCTATTAGCCTCTGTCTGCCTGAAGCTGGGAACAGGTGACAGTGGATGAATCACTTGATGATTCCCTTTTCTGTTCATTCCCTCTGGGACACCTGGCCATTGTCAAAAGTCAAAACTACTAGGCTAGATGGACCCAGTGTGGACTGGCCTGATCCCACATGACAGTTCTTATCCTTAAGCCTGCCCCACATCACCACTGCCAGCTAGGGATTTCCTCCCAAGTTCCCTCAACCTGTTCTGCTTGATGATAAGAGTTTAACTGGTTAACCAATGAGCCACTAGTTAAACTCCTGGCCACCCTGGGGAGCCTGCGGGTCTAGAGGCACCACATGCAGGGCCAGCAGTGCCAGCGGCCTCTGGGAGCCCAGAGGGTTAAGCTCACAGAAGCGTTTAACCATGTAACTGATTGAATTTCAGTCGATTACATGGTAAGGCTACATCTACACTGCACGCTTTTTGCGCAAGAACGGTTTTGCACAAGAGTTCTTGTGCAAAAGGTCTTGCACAAGAGCACGTCCACACTGCCATGTGCTTTTGCGCAAGAGATGTGCTTTTGCACAAGAGCGTCCATGGCAGTGTGGATGCTCTCTTGTGCAAGAAAGCTCTGTTGGCCGTTTTAGCCACAGGGGTTTCTTGTGCAAGAAAGCCCTGCTGCCCGTCCACACTGCCTTCTTGCGCAAGAGGGCTTATTCCTCGTGGGGTAAGGAATAACTCTGGTGCAAGAAGCCCTCTGTTCCGATGCTGTACTGTAAATTTACTTGCACAAGAATGTGTGTGCAGTGTAGACGCTCTGCCAGTTTTGACGCAAGAACAGGTGTTCTTGCGCAAAAAGCCTGCAGTGTACACACAGCCTTACTGTTTTAATTTTTGTTTGTTTGTTTTTTTACAATTCTACTTGGCGGCATGATATCGTCTCAGGGAAGCGGTGGACACCCCATATCTCAGGACTTTCAAAGCCAAATTGGACAAAGCACCAGGAGATATACAGTATTGTGGGAAACAAGCCTGCCCAGGCCTGAGCATGCTGTGCCTGTCTGTCTCCTGTCCATCCTAGTGGCATGGGGGCCTGGCCGCTAGTGGCTGTCACTGACCTATTATCCCCACTTCAAAGAGAATCCTCTGAACTGTCATTCATGCTTAAATTCGACACTTTACATGCAAATTTGAATAAAGACGCTAATTATCTTACCCATTACAAAGATAGCTTCCCCAATTATCACCTCTAATATCATTAGCTCACAGACATTTACCTCCCCCTCTTCCCCCCCATCCCCCTTCTGTTCTGAAATTTGATTTGTCCTTTTCATATGTGTTCATTTTTGTTAATTGTACCCTTTGGTATATATGGTTGTGACTATTTTCTTCCACTATTTGATCTGAGGAAGTGGGTCTGGCCCATGAAAGCTCATCACCTAATAAACCATCTTGTTAGTCTTTAAAGTGCTACATTGTCCTGTTTTTTGTTTCAGCTGCACCAGACTAACAGGGCTACATTTCTATCACTATTCTAGTATCCCCACACACTGAGCTCTCTCCCCGATGGGCTGCTGCCTGGGGCAGCGCCTGTCTGCTCAGCGCCCCCCCTGGGCTGAGGGCTGCTCTCCCCTCCCCAAAGCCCTGGGCAGGCGGGCGGCACGAGGCCACCAGCGCAGCCTCTGCTAATGAGCTGAAGCGCCACTAAAAATAGACCAGGCTGCCTGGGAAGGTCCCGGCGGAGCCTGGTTCCAGCTGCTTCTGCGGGCCATGCCCCCCACGGCTCCCAGCCAGCCCTGCCCGGGCCTGTCCCGCTGCAAGCCCCCCAGGCAG